GGTTAGAGTTGGACATAGATCAGTCAATTTGCACATTCAGGTCAAATTCTGAATTTGCTTAAACTATTACTACTAATATTACTACTTCTATCACTACTACCACCACCACCACTACTACTAATACTACCACTACTACTACTACTACTACTACTACCACCACCACTACTACCACTACCACTACCACTACTACCACTACCACTACTACTACTACTACTACTACTACTATTACTACTACCACCACCACTACTACCACGGCCACTACTACCACCACTACCACTACTACTACTACTACTACTACTACTACTGCTACTACTACTACTACTAATAATAATAATAATAATAATAATAATCGCTTGCATTTTAATGTCTGTCATATAGATGGAAGTTGGATAGCTTAGCTTGAACGAGTTTGAAAATGTCTGACATAAAACATATAGGAAGATAAAAGAATAAGAGGTGAAGCAAATAAGTGAAAGACATGTAAGTACTGATCATGTCCAACAGATCAAAAGCCAAGAGTATGCCAAAAAAAAAAGTCACCATATTTTTCACGACACTGTATCATTCGTCACTCTGTCGCTCTTCTTCTGAGTTCTGCTTCATTTCATACATATGTGAAGGGCCTGTCAATGCTGAGATGACAGCAGTGACGAGTCAAGGATTGAATTGCCAATTCCAATACAACTAAGGAGCCCAGATCTCAGCCTGCTGATTTAATTCAGGCAGAATTGGAATTGACCCAAATGAAACTGGTGGAGTGGAGTGAAGGTGGGCAGGATTGGGGCTGACGTTAATCCCTGAGAGGTTTGAACAGTGGAATAGTGGAATAGTGCTTCTTGGAATGTGATGAAGGGGGATTGGGTTTAGAGAAAGATGCTGGTTGAGACTTTAGAGGAAGGAGCAGGAGTGGGGATTGCAGAAGGGGTAGTATCAATGRCAGATTACAGACAATTTATTCATGAGGTTAGCAGGTCAACCACACCTACCATCAATCTAAATGGGGGGAATGTCACCAAATAGAAACCAATTCCTGAAATCACTTRTGTTGTTGTGAAAAAAAKAACAACGTACAAATGCATACAACAGAAAATTTGACACATACAGTACCAACATATTCAACTCACCATTGCGTGACGTTACATTAGCTTGTGTTTTGGAGAGGTCTTCAGTTGTTTCGCCGAATGATTGAGAGATCCGACGGTCAAGGCCGTCCAGTAAAGAGTTAAGAGAATGCTCTGACAGAGGAGGGCTGACAGGGACCCCCTAAGAAAAAAGGCAGAGTTGACATATGTGCATAAGTAACAGACAATCACATTTGTATTTCRAAAGGTTGTGTTAGGTGTATTTAATAGCCTTAAACCCAAATTTGCTYATAACCAATAACTAAAAGTGTTTGGAGCAAGTCAAGGAACACGTTCATTTGAAGGAATTTTTTTTTAAATGCAAGATTCAACAGTTTTTTTATTAAAGTTGTTCCACAAGTTGAAATATTGTCTCGATTACATTGTGAGCACCGATGTTTCACTTTTGCAAACAAAGCCAACAATTACCATTTATGCATGTTCAAATATTTTTGGCAGATTTGAATTATTTTTGTAATAATGAAATTTGGCAAAATGAAAACAAGAAAATTAACAGCCACTCATTCAATTGCTTCCWTTAACTTATACTTCTAKAGCYCCCATATATCATGAACTTTAATCAWAATGTCAATAAATCCATACACTACATGTTACAATATGATAAACATATTTTGAAACACAAACAAAGCAGACAAAATGCATGGGTGATGTGTTATTTGACYAGGACAGATGACCCGTTTGCACACAAAGGAAAAAAAAACAGGAATGCACCTCCTGTTTTGTCATCAATACTCCAGAAAGATAAAAACGAAGGCCTCAGTATCCATTCCGGCTTATATCGGTATTTTCTGGTTCAGCAGTGTGAAACGGATCCAGCTGCAGTCCGAAGCAGGATAAAGCTCCATGGATTTCTCATCGGCCAGCAGACAGATGTCACTAACAATGAGTTTGACTAAAAGCGACCAGTGACATTTGCCGTGTGGTCGATGTTCTGCACCGCTGATCGTTGAGCCCTTGGTACACTCTGTGCGTGTGCCAATCTGTACAGGCGGACTTGGTTWGTCGTAGAGACCCCTTTACGTGTGRCATGTTTAGATTGAAAAACTTAAGACGTTTTATATTGTGTTACTTTTGGATAGAGGCTACTAAGTTATAARTGMGATAAAAATTGCAACTAAAAGAATATTAACCTCACATCTTGCAGTTTTGATCCTTGATTTTCTTTTATTTAATCAGCAGCTTGTGGGTATCACCTGTACAGGATTGATTACTGGTTGCTCACTCACAGCCAATCAGTTAACAGTATAAGGGTTTGTATTCTCAAACATGTTTCAAACTAGGTGATTGTTGTCGTCCTTGAATTTTCACAGCATTCTACCAACTCTGATCAAAAACAAAGGGAAGGAASCATGCTAGGGAGAATAGAGTGGAAAGACGAAAAGGCAAATGACTGAGACTTTAGGATAAACAAATTGAATAAATTACAAGGAGGAGAAAAATACTGTGGGGGTGTTGGAACTTTAAATGAACTGGGGTCATGCCAAGCAGCCTCTCTYTGGGAGTGGCATGTTGTGTCATTGAAGAGGTTTTCYAGAACAGGGAGACTTATTGGCAGCTTAATATAAATGAGAGGTTTAATGTGGTTGAAGGCACAAAACTTTATCAGTACAGCGTGTTGATAAGAGTGAGAAGAGAGTGAAGCTGTGCCTGTGCGCAGCTGGGTCAACGCAATTACATTCGCAGCCATGGCCACTGCCAGCCTTTTAATAGAAGCATGTCCCTGGATAAATTAGGCTCAATAAGGTCCAAATTGTCGAAATTAAGATTTATTTAACTCTCATTTCTTCCCCCATTTATTTAACTATTCTCTGCACTCTTTTGAAAATTCGTTTTGATCTTTGGCTTGTCATGAGCTGAAAAGAAGTGCAAGTTTCCTATAAAATGTGAAAAGGAAATTACATATAAAACACATCGGGTGGCAAAAAYTGACAGCTATTTTAGAGGGAGGTGTATGAGTTGATGTTAAAAGCATTCTTTGTCTTCCCGGGCAAACAAATGCTGGGATCAATAGAACACCGCTCCAATATTGCAGCAATTTAATCTTTGTGGATTTTGTGTTAATTAAGTCTGCTTTTGTGCATGCTAAAGCTTTGGCTTTCTCTCACTCTGTTTACTGACTTGTGAATGTTTACCGACTAGAGCACTAGGTACGGTTCAWGATGAGAAGTGACACATCCACATAAATATTGAAGATACCCAATATTAAGCTGTGAAGCATTGTTATAGTTTGTTTTTTTTTTCTGTTATTTTTGAGGAATTGCATTTTTATGCTACAAATGAAAATACAGTTTTATAGATTAAATAGTTGTTCCATAATCTGACAAATCAAGAATAACAGACCACAATTGTATCAACAAACAATTATAAATGTGTGGTCTTTGTTCTCACCAAAAAAGTGTTTTCCAGTTTTTTTCTGTGTGCAAAATGATTTCCCTCACCCGCAACAACCTATTTAATGCCTGCCCTGGCACAACTCAGCATGCACCAGAATATCGCACCAAGCTAGCACAATGCTGAAGCCACAGATTTGCATCAAGCTTCTTTTACGGTTTTGATATGATCACGGTTGTAGCTTGAGCAGTTTGGACAGTCCTGTTCTTGACAACCAAGTATCGTAYAGTGCACAGGCCTCACATGATGGATATGCTACTGCCACTGCCATCACACTCCCCTCTACCCACCAAAGATCCTGATACACCAAAATAAAAGATTTACTTTTGTTTCAGAATTTTTGGGAATTTTGTACATGTCAAGCTACTGTATGTATCTTTGTAATCAGTTGCTCACTGTATTCTATAAAGGCCCCTAAAGACCCTCTCATGACTCTAAATGTTCTGGGTGATTATTTATTTATTTATTTATTTATTTATTTATTTATTTATTTATTTATTTATTTAATTTATTTCATGCTAGCGTTCTCAATCACTGACCAGGGGGTCTAGCTAAATAATGGAAAATAAGAGTACTAARACTACATAACAAAATCAAAATCWWAAACATAAGAGTTCTTTGTGCATATTTTCAAACTGCTGCTGAATCAACCAAACAAATACAGACTCTTATCTCTTGAAAAGTGAACCTGTACTCTCAGTGGTTTCTTAATTTTCCCAAAGATGGGTTCTCATTGTGTATTCAGACCATCTTAATCTAGTCATTTTCAGTGGATTATCTTGTTGATTGAGGGCAAAGGTAGAGCAGTGTGACTCACACTGAGCTCAGTGGAAATCAGGTGGAAAAGAGCTCCTACAAAACTAAAAAAAATCTATGCACATTATATAATGCTTTATTTATTTGAGTGTTATGTGGTTCAAATGCCTTTTTGTGCATATTATATTTGCGAATATAAGTTCATAATTTTGGGTCTTGATTTGTCATTTGTTTAGACTCATGCACATCTGCGTTTTCTCCTGTGCATTACCATCTACCTGACCTTGAGTACTCAATAGGAAAGAGGAGGCAGTGCGATGACATGTTTGGTCCTAAGCTGTCAACTATTGTTAATAAAGTCAAGTCCARGATCATTTCCGAACCTTCTATCCTYGTCTCAGTCYATTGCCTCCGTCCTAATCCTGTCCATCTCCACCATAATGCTGTAATTACAATCTTTAAGCCGCTGCATTCTGTTCAAGGCACAACTCACCTCTTCTCTTTATAGCTAGATACCACACTTTCATTAGCCTCTCACATCCGCACAGAGCCTTATCTAATGCTGGTGCCTCTATAAGTGGGATTCTATGGTCTTAGAGAAATCTCAGCAAAACATTGATTTCACCAGAATATGACATAGATAAAAASCGTAATAACAGGAAAACCTGTCAGGTTAACAACTGGCCAGATACTGTATACCTCCTTTGGGGTGCTTGTGTCTTGGAGGATGGTTGAGTATCAAATTAAAACATATTGCAAGTTTTGGTTCATTCAAAAAGAATGAGGCTCTAAGCCCACGAGAACACATCATGTGCAGGCAGTTAAAATTAAACATTTTATACAGCAAATTAGTCAACATGATATTGCTCAAAATTTGTGAATAAATCAGGTAAATTTTACTTAATTTGCTCAATTAAATCTTGTAACGTATACGAGATCAACTTAAGTAAAATTTACCTGTTTATTCACAAAACTTTAACTATTCTTAATAACTTTTACTAGATAATGATGAGTAAATATAACATTAATTTGTAGCATTTAAATTTACTTAACTAACGTTAGTGCAAATTGTTACGAGGATTTTTTTCTACTAAATCTTACAAGTTCTTTATAACAGTGCACATGCGTCAAGCACAATATTTTAGCATGACACCTCACAGCTACAGAGAGAGGTGTTGCTCATGTTGTAGTTCAAGAACTCACCACCAGGGGGCAGTTTTGAAGAACCTTTATTGGATTCTTCTTCATGAACAACACAGACAAAGTGAAACTCACAGGTCTTATTAACGACTAGGCCTACCACTCTCACTTATGGTTACTTCTGCTGAACGGTTTAACACAAGTTAACAAATAATGAACACACAAATTAGAGTAACACAACAGACTAATTMCTGAAAGAACAATGTTAACCAATTCCCTAAAATGATTTAACAACAACAAACATGGATCCTACCCACAATCCTCCACTGCAGTCACATGTCAAACAGCCCAACACAGCAGAATGCTACTATATGCATTCCCTGTTCCCTGACAACTAAATATCACCTACATTATGCCATCAAACTATTGCACACCAACAAATGTATTCAAGCAAAACAAACCAGACAACTTATGTTTTATTTTGACCATATCTTGTCCTCTCCTTGAAAAGTGAAGCAAGGGAATGAGGAGCAGCAGCCTTTGTGTGTGCATGCGCCCTCAGTTTTAGCCCAGAAGAGTAGAAGTTACTTAATATATTCATGTTTATGTGCTGTCCAGAAAAAAGCACTTAAATATTACTGGTAAAATAGCATTAGCGTTTACCTTTTTTGGACATTAATATTGATATACTGTATAATATAATGCATATTGT